GATTAAATGAGATCGTAGTGAATTTGTTTCTGCCGCGGCAGCATAACTTGAGAACCGAGAGTGTGGACATTGGCAGGGACCGCCTGGGTTTCAAGTCCCACTTTGAACTTCTAGCTGAGAGACCCTGGGAAAGGGCCCGACTTCTCCGTGTGTTTCCTCAACTGTATGATCTCGCTGGGTTGTTTTTGCTTAATGTAAAAAATCTACGTAAATGTACATTTAATCTATAATGTAATGTAGATTACATTTAATCTACATAAATGTAAAAAATCTAAAGTATAAGAGCTTATTTTCATTTTAAAATAAAGTTCTTAAAATAGTTTCTCATAAATGAAGTTTCCTCACGGATCTGGCTGAAGAAAGAATGCTGGCCTTGATACAGTTCTCTAGCTCCTCGGAAGAGAAGTCGGTGGAGAAGGAGGGGGTGCTCCCATATCTCTTTTGTGTTGGTATTTTCCTTTTCAAACTCAGAATTTGCAAGGGAATGGGGATTACAGGAGGATCTTTAAATCTTCGGCGCAAACTCCCAGAACAAAGAAACGAGCTGAGCCAGTAACCCTCCGCGCCTGTTTTGCGGAGATGGCTGTCGCAATCACAAGAGCGCAGGCGGCAGGCTTTGGGGCCTGGAGACCCAGGCCTGGGGCGCGGGTGGGGCCTGGCCAGTCGATGAAGCGCAGGGCGCAGTCAATCGCAGAGCCTCCGAGCGAGCGCACCGCCAGTCCGGCTCTCCGGTGTCCTCCTGCAGCCGAGAACTGGGTCTGGCCGCTGCGCCTGCTGCGGGCGACTGTCCGCGCGGCCGCCTGGAGCGCAGGGCCGCGGACCTTGGGCACGTGGGCGGAGGCCGGCGCGCGGCAGAGCAGCCGGGGTTGGGGAGCTGCGCCGTTTGCATCGCCAGCGCCTCCGCCTTCTGGGGAGACACGGCGGCCGCAGGTAACCCGGCTACAATCTGCGCCCCCACTCACCTCTACTAAGCTCCCCTCGGCCCTGCATTTTCGGAAGGAAAGCTTGGAACGGAGGCGCAAGGAGTTAGCTGCAGCCCCGGAGGGAGGAGACACCTCGTGTGGCGCTGGAGTCTGAGCCCTGGCACTTGAAACTCTATTTAGAGCCCCGCTGCTGGGCTTTTCTTTGCCAGGAGTTCCAGCCTTGCAGCGCCCTTTTTCCTCTCCCATCACAGTCACAGCCGGGTGCCAGCCCCCTGCCCAACCTGTCCCTGGAAAAGTGCCTGCCTTCCTCTTTCCCCACCATCTCTCCTCCCCTTGGAAATCTTCCTGGTCTGCAAAACCCTTCCACAGACGTTGGCGGCGCAGCGGACTTCTTACGGCCCAGCCTCCTCGTTTGGTGGCAGCTGTGGGTTCGAGGGGAGCAGCCGGGACTGTTAAAACTGACCTTCACACCTTAAAAGGTTCAGGGCTCTCTTGTGCCTTTGGACCCCTAAAATTTGTTAATTTTTTATCTTAAAATTGAATTTAAAATTAAAATCCGAAGTGAAACTTTATCCTCCCTCCCCCCACCCCCCGTTTTTGTCATCTTGATAAGAAATCAAGTGAAGGAAAGAGGATGGGGAATGAGAACCTCATTATTCGAACCCTGGCTATAGTTGTGCTAGTAACCTATGGGGGTGGGGGGGGTACTGCTCTATTTGTTTACAGGGAAGTCATCTGGTGAAGTGCCATGCACAGAGAGCTCCTTGGAAGGGATGGAAACATTTCTTTGGATTGAAGTGTGTTTTGACACCTGGGCATGCAGTATCTTCCGTTTCACTTGATTTAAAGAATATCGTCTCTGTCATGAAACACTAAACCATTGTCTCACTGTCATTATGCCCCAAAGTTCTAATATTTATGTCTATTCCTTTTTGTTTACGGGCTGCATGTTCTTTTAGAGTCTCTCTCCTGCATGACAGTCACCAGGGGCGATGACATTATAAACAGGCCATTGAAGAAGAGCCTGCTCTGGGATTCAAGAAACACGGCTAACCTCTGAAGGCCTGTGTTCTGTGTTGGGTTCTGGGCCTAGCTCTGCTGCTAATTGGCTATGTGACCTTGGTGTTCAGTTTTCTGCATCTTTTGGAACCTTGTTCTCATTTCAGGGAAGCTGGGGCAAATAACCTTTACCCATCTGGCCAATGACTACTAAATTCAAGGGTTAGTACTGGCCCTCCTCTTCCTTGACCTATCAGTGGTATTGACCAAATTGATGACTGCCTCCTTAAAATGCTTTTCTCTTGAAGTCTTGGGAGTTTTACTTCTCTCGAATGTGTGAAATCCACGTTGGGGTACCGGCTGCCTTCCTGGTATCTTCTTAGAAGAAGCATGTTTAAAGCTGAACGCCCTAATCTGCTCTGCCCATCTTATCTACCTCAATAAATGACAACCCTGTCTTTCCCTGCTCTGGCTAAAACCCCTGCTGGCAAATTTGTCTTTCATCATCACTCTAGTCTAAATCACCACCTCCCTAATTGGACGATAACCATAGCCTCCTACCTAGTTTCTCTGGTTTTTCCCTTGCCTTTTTGCAGTTTATTCTCCACAAGTAATCGAGCAAGTCAATCATGTCTCTAATTAGGTGATAACTGTCCGATGGTTTATCTCATTCAGAAAGAAATCCAAAGTCTAAAAGTGGCCTCAGTCTCAGCTTCCTTTCTGACCTCATCCCTTCCCCGTTCCCCCCTGGCTCACTAACATTGCTGGGACGTGGACCTCCCAGCTCTGATCCCAGTATGTCAATCATGTTCCTGTCTTGGGTGCTTAATAATCTTTCCATCTAGAACACTCTTCCTGCAGACAGCTCAGGGCTGTCTTCTTCGAGTCCTTCAGTTCTCTGCTCACTCAAATGTTATCTTGTCAAAGACACCTACTCTTGACCACTCCACAACCAATAGCTACAATTCTACCCGACCCTTCTTGGGATTTCCTAACCCCTTAGTTGCTTTATCGTTCTTTACTACACTTGTCAGATAACAGATACTTTGGGGTACTTTTTCCCTCCCCCCACCACCAGAATGTAAACTCCAAAGAGTTTGGAGGGCACAGATTTGGACAGTTTTGGTCACTGCTGTGTCTAGTGCTTGGCATGTGTCTTTGCCCCATTGGGCTGCTGTAATGAAATAAGACTTGATTATGAGACTGGAAGAGCAAAGAAGGTTTTACACCTGATGAATTGGAAATTTATTTCTTTTTACAAAGAGACTCTTGCCATCTGAAGGAAATAATTTCTAGAGAGCACTGGCAGTGGGGAAATATGCTACCATGGCTACAAATAGTTTTCTGTTACCATGTAATAATTTGCTTTTTCTTTAGTCAGCATGAGAAAGTCTGTGGATTATTACCCAATGTGGCAGTGCTTGAATATACAGTACGGTGAGCAAAAACTCACTAAGCTAGAAAGGGTTCCCAGGAACATGCCCCCCAAATGCACCAATATATACACAACTTCCAATTTTAGATAATGTATAGACAATAAGCCCTGGCCAGGTAGGTCAGTTGGTTAGAGCATCGTCACCATACACCAAGGTTGCGGGTTCCATCTCCAATGAAGGCACATACAAAAAGCCACCAATGAATGCAAAATAAGTGCGACAACACATTGATGTCTCTCTCCCCCTTCCTTGCTCTCTGAAGTCGATACATTTTAAATAGAAAAAAAGAAGATTTTACTCAGACTTTTTAAAATTTTGATTATTGTTGATCACGCGTTGTGATATAATTCTAGTTCCTCAGCTAATATATGGAGAGAAGCTGGATTTTTGGTTTTTGATTATCTCTCGAAGGTAACTATGTGCCTGCTAACTGCTGCAAAAGGAAAATCGCCTGTAAGTTAATTATTGTGATCATTTTAATGACTATGTATGTAAGCATACCTTAAGGGAAAATTATATAAGACAATGTTTGCATAATGACATATTGTAAAACTTTAAAATGTTAGGTCTTATTATTAGAGAAAATATGTTTTATTTACCATCATTTAAGTTAGGTAAAATTAGAACTACAGCTAACTGTGGCAGAGCTTTGCTCACAAAGATGAATAATGTAGCCTTATTTATAACATTCACAAAAAAACTAAAGGCTTAAATGGCCAACCATACAGAAATGGTTAAATAAATGACGAGTGGTCCAGGCAATGAAATCTTACATAGCCACTGAAATTATAGTTATGAAAGGCTTTATTAACATGAAAAATTGCTTATGCTGTCATCTCTAATACATGATAAATGTCTTAGTCCTAACTTTGACATATTTCTGTTAGTCCTACTGAATTAAACTTTTTTTTTGTTTTAATATGTAAGGCTAAGAAATTGGCTTGGAGCATGGAGTAGCTCAGCAAAAATTCCATTTAGACAATAGAACCATTCAAATTCTTTAGCTCGTTAGACAATACACACAGGTCTTGGTGAAGCTAATGTCACCAACTTTGTGACATTAAGTACATGTCAGCAGCTGCTTTCACTTGGTAGAATTAGTTTGAAAGTGAACCCCTAGTAACATAACTAATTATCTAGTTTTTGCTTTAAACTACAGTTTGGCCAAAAAGGAGACACTTATAGTAACACCCATGGTCCCTCTTACTCCACTCTCCCCCTTTGGTTACCTGCCCCTGTGTCTATAATCAACCAAATGTGAAATCATTAGCTTCACTTGAGAACTAGTGGAAGATGTTCTCAGGACATGTATAATGTTGGGAAGATTTGTTTTTAATAAAACTTTTGAAAAAAAACAAAAAAAACCTTTTGAGTTAAAACCACTATGGATCACAAAGGAGAAGTGACTAATTTGTTTAGCTGTCATCCTTACATCATCTCTTTGGTAATAATGGAAGTTAAGTTTATTTTGAACGTAACATTAGATTTTTCCATTGACTGGTTATATTCTCAAATTCCTTAGGGATTAGTTCTTTTTTAGACAACATAACTATTACAGTTACTTAAAATTTAATGCAGCCTTGCAAGTAATTAAATACTCACTAGTGGATAACGCGTATTCTTATAATTTAGGACTTAGGCTATGTTCCTGATTTTATACAGACTGCCATGACTCCCTACGTAAAGAACATTCACAAATAAGGTAATTTGAAAAATGTTTGCCACTAAATCATCTTCATTTCCTATATCTAACGGCACGTCAAATTGTAAGAGAGAATATGTGTTTACCTATATTATTATATAATATAGGTAAATATATATAGGTTACTAAAAGTAAATAATTAACTCACTGAACATTCAAAAGCCTTTATTAGCCACCTTGATGTGGTCCTCAGGAAAGAAGGTAGTTGCTATTGGGTGAAAGAATATTTAGAAATATAGCCAGCATTGATCCACTGGCATATTTGGGTTGATTTCCAGTCAGAGAGTTATAATTATACTGGGCCACTCCTCTCCCCTGGGGCTCTCCTGGGGTCAGATTGCAACTGGTGGCTAGGGGACCCCTGCAAGCTGCTTGCCGAACTTGAACCACATCCGAGTTTCCGGCCTCATTATCTGGTGCTGTGGTTTGTGGGACGAACACAGGAAGTCTTTTGCAGCTGGGTCCTGAGGTAACCTCAAGTGGCATTCCTGGAGATCTCTTAAGCACTGAAACTGCATTTCTGCTTAAGAAGGATAAATCCCTTACAGTATGCTGTTGTTTAAGATCTTGAAGACGAAAAGCTTTAGGAGGAAGAGCTTTGGGTAATTACTAGTCTGATGTACCCATGGTTTTATTGTTAATGCATCTCGGAATACACATTAGGAAGGTCTGTTTTGTAAGATATCATTATTTTCCACTAGAGGAAGCTATATCTCCTTTTAAAAAAGTCAGTAATCTTGAAAAAGAGGAAAGCAAGATGTCAGACTTGCCAAAACTTCTTATGAACCTTAAGTATTGGTAATAAATCTGTTATTTGTATATTACATTTTATTTTGAAATCAGAAGATGTCAACACCCTTCTTCCTGGGTGAGAGGGTGGAAATAGAAACAAGTTTGAGGGTGGGAGTTTCTCTCAGTAGAAGGATTGGTGATGCCATCATCTGGAAGGACTTCTGAAGGTGAGGGGTGGGCATGGATGTAAAGGACAGTAGGGCTGAGCTTTAGGGAAAGGGGAGGGCTGGTGGAGGCAAAGAAGGAGGTGTAACATGTGAGGGGAAGGAAGGGGTGGACTGTGGAAGGGGGGCGTTCTTTAAGAAAGTGTTGGTGGGGTGGATAGAGGTGGGAAAGAGGAGAATAGTTTGAAGGAAATGAAAACGGAGAAAAAATGTTGCCTTTAGTTAGAAAGAGGATTCGTGGGTATAAATTTCTGGCCATTTATAATTAATAATCATTCTTTGGCCAGTTAGTAGGAGTGGTTTGGCAGAGCACTCAGGGCCTTTTTCAGATTTTGTCTGATGGCCATTAACCACCCACACGAGTCCATACAGGGACATAGAGTCGAACAGGTCAAATACAGCAGACTGGAAGTGGGACGAGCAGGATTTTCACCCTGCCTGTGCCCCCAACAAACTGCATAACCCTGGACAAGTCACGTAGCTTCTCTGCATCTAAGTTTCTTTGTCTGTAAATGAGATGGTTGGATTTGGTCAAAGTTAATTAATGTGGTGTTCAACAGTGGGCTTCAGGGAATCTGACATGCCCCTGAAATTATAAGAAAAAAAATGTTTTCACTTAAGGAGGAAATCCATAGCTTTTATTGGATTTCATAAAGGATAATGAATCTTGAAAAAATAAGAACTCCTGGATTAGGTGATCACTAAAGGCCTAGAGATTTTAAATCTCTAGTTTAAATCAATCTGTCCCAGTCTCCTGGCCTGTCTCGGCAAATCACTTTCAGAGATCAAATTACAGGTTAGACTTTTTAAAGTGTAATTGCTTGGATCAGTCCTCTCTAGAGGATCATTTAGAAAAATCAGGAGAATTTTTAAAATTAGAAATAGTCTTTTTTAACAATAGATCACAGATATTTTTATTAGGACCCAGTGGCGACATCTTGTTTCACATCAGTTACCAGCTCTGCATCTGATGAGCCAGTGAAAACACCGGAAGTGGCTTCGTCCAGTTAAATATTCTGCAGGGTGCCATCACCTTTGGGGCTTTGCCTCTAAAAGGAAAACAAAACAAAACAAAACAAAAAAACAAAGGGTAGAGGAGCCAGTTCAGTGAATGAAAGCCCATGATGGAGCATCAGAGTGATCGCCACGGTGTCTCTCTCCTGGCTGGCATGCATGTGATCAGCAGTGCTGGGGGCTCCAACCCTGTCATGTGTGCTGCCGCCCTTGACAAGATGACCAGGAAGGCCGGCATCGATTTGAACATAGCAGTGGTCACTGGAGATGACATCATGGGAGAGGTTGTTGGCTTTGAGTGATATGCTCCTAAGCAAAAAGCTATTGTATCTTGTGATGAACAAGTAGGATCGTTTAATTTGATCTAATTATTGGATTTTGGTATAACTCTTTGGGCTAAGCTCTAGAAATCTCTTTCTAATCTGTGTTATTTTAATCTAGAAAATATGATATGTCATTTGCTTAGATTGGTTATCCATTTATGTTTATAAACCACTTATGTGTGTGGTATGAAGGTTTTATTGATTCACCGAAGACAGTGTTTAAAATAACTTTAGACCCTTCTCTGGACATGGAAGTCTGAATTGAAATTGTGCTTCTTACAAAAACATTAATTTAATTAGTACAAGTCATTACTTACCTTTCTAATCTTAACATCATTTGGGTTCCAGCTGATGGATCTTGCTGTAGGTGATACCATCTGTGTCACAACAGGAAGGGGAATGGAATGAGTAAGTTTTTTTATTAACGCTTCAACTTGACAAGCTAGATGTTTCAGGCGAGCACCAGGTGTTTCAGTGGCACTGATTCCTTCCTACCAACTGAGCTCGGCTCCCTGTGAGATGCAAAGGGTGTCACATCGCTCTTGTGAAAGGCAGACTGTGTTTGCAGGTCCCTAGATACTTGTGTTAGCTGTCAGGAGCACACAAAATATCAGTTGACTTAATTGTTTGCGTGTGAACAGAACATGTCTGCTAATTAGCTTTATTTTACGAGGGCTGTGGACTCGCTCATTCAGGCTGTGGAAGGTCCTTCTGTCCGTGCAGGTTGGGTTTGTGACACGTGAGAACTGCTGTGGAGGTAACCGGGCAGAGCTGCCCCATTTCTGTGTCCACAGTACCTTTTAATTCATCTGTATCCTTCTAACTGCGCTGCCTGAATTTGCTGCCATAACCGCCCACTGATTTATTTTCATTGTGACCTTATCTCAGCGTGCGGCAGACTTCTGCTTTACGCATCCCAGCGTGATGACAGATACACAGAGTCTCATCCAAGAGAATGAGACTGGAGACTTGTTTGTCCCTTATAGAAAGGGAAACCGCTCTGGAGACATTTTAATTTGTTTGTAGAAAACGAATCATGGAAACAGTGATACCGTGAAACAGGTCCCTGCCTTAGGAATATCGGAGTTTGGCTTTTAATAGCCAAAATCTTGCCTACTCCAATTGTAATAGTAACTGAACACAACGTTAAATATATATTTGTCATAGCATCACATGTTTTCATGTGTATACATATATCATATAGTATAGGTATGGCTTTTAATACATATAAAACACCAAATCCCTTTTGGCAGAGTGGTCCTGGCTTTACCCTTTGGTGGTGAAGCTGCTTCTGGTTTTGGTGCCAGTTTGTGCTGTGGACAGACTTCGGGGAACGAAAAGTGTCCTCAGCAGCTTTGGGGCCTCTGTAAGGTGATCACATGTTCCTTTCATGAATGACCACGTCTCAACGGCTTCAGCTGGTGCCATGGTGATTTACACAGCTTTCAACTCTAGCCTGAGCCCCTTTTTCGAGGGGAGGGGCTTGTAGAGACCACCCCATACCCATGCTGCCTCTAGTGCATTGGTGTTTAACCTGGGAAAAAGTGCCTGCATCGGGAGTCCCCGAACACGTAGATTCATGATCATGGACAGAAAAACAGAACAAAACTCATGTCTTTTGGGGAAATGTACTGGTAACTTTTATTCTTAACTTTGACTGGATAGGAAGCGTGATTCTTTCCCAGAGACAAACTGCTATAGGACCTTTCAAATTCCTCATACCACTCTGTAAGCACAAGAGCAGATTATGATGTATTTACAGCTGTCCTGTGGGATCCATACCACCAGTGTCCTACTTTAAAGATGGAGCATCTCAGAGCAGCACGGAGGAGCCAGGGGCTTCGCCAGGCTCCAGAGCCAACGCGCTTCTCCACGAGGCTCCACTCAGCCTTTCTCACTTCGTTAGGTTCCTTGTCTACAGCCTGGAGGTTGTATGTAATACCTGCCATACGTGGCTGCGTGGAAAACTAAACGAAACACTGCATGAAAAGTGCTGGAAACAGAATATCATTTTCAGTACATGTTAATTCCTTTATGCCAGTAATGAAGTATATGGGATTCTACTGATCTACTAGATGTTTTTTATTGTTTTAGCATATAAAACAGGGTGGGGCAAAAGTAGGCTTACTGTTGTGAGCATGCAAAATGCAGTTTATTCTTATATTATTATTATTATTAACTATTTTTCCATATGAACAACTGTAAATCTAGTTTTGTATAAGGATAAAAAGTAAGCTGTCTATGAATAAAGGTTTAAAATATTTTTGTGAAATATTTGTAGAAGGAGGCTCTGCAGAGATCAGCTATCACAGACCTAGAGAGTGGGAAGAAGTTTCCAGACACCATGAGAGGCATGAACGTGTACCTTGGGTAAGGTCTTTTCTCTTACGTTTTCTTTTAATTGACTCTTACGTTCTTTATCCCTCCCAGTCTCCCTCCCTTCCATCCTTCTCAGTGCAGATGGACACAGGTGGCTTCAAAGTGTTGATCATTTAAAAAGCCTTTCTCCCAGGGTGCCAGGTAGCAGCAGAAACTCTTAGGACCATCAACAGGACTTTCTCAAGGACCACCAGAGTCTGTAGCTCTGAGACCACAGAAGAGGCCTGGGGTGAAGGAGGCAGACATTCTCTGACAGCTGAGGCTGCCCCAGTGGTGTCCCATCTAAACCAACAGCAGGATGGAAAGAGGAATTTAACTGTAAACCTTGGGAGTTAAAAGCTTTGGTTGTAAGAGGTCGGAAGGATGGGGCTTTGTGTACTTGGTGCTTCTGTTGCTTTTAAGTCATTTACTTAAAGAAGTTCATGGCTGCTCATATCCCCAGCCCATTTGGTAGAAGCAAATGCAAACCCAGGTGTTCCCCTAAAAGAGGCTGCTGCACAAATAAAGCCTCACCAAACTTAATAGGAGTTCACAACCTGAAATTTCAAAGCATATGTAAATGTCCACAGAATTCATACCCGGAGTGATTCGATGCAGAATGGAGTAAGGGTGTTAAAGGTGTCTAAAGAAAGGAAGATGGAACAAAAACCTGAGCAGGGAACGAGCTTTCACAGAAGGCCTACGTGGATTTGAATAGAAACCACATGAACTTTATTCATCCAACATACAATCTTTGAAATAAAAATTCAATGTGTAGATTAAACAGCTGATGTGATACCATTAATGGAAGATTAATGAATTGGAAAATGGATCTGAGAAAATTACTGAGAATGCAGCCCAGGCTAAAGAGATGGAAAATGAAAGAGAAGTTAGAGATGTGGGGATAGAGTTGTAAGGTCTAATGTTCTATCCAGTGAAGAGTGCTAGAAGAGAATAGGGAGAAGGGGGTGGGGGGTCATGTCCAGAGACAATGGCTGAGCCTCACGGTTCAGGGCTGGAGAAACATATTTATCCATAGGGTCAAGAAGCAGAGTCGATCCCAGCAGGTCAGACAAAAAGATACAGCATAGCGCAGTTGTCTAAGACCAAAAACTAAGATTGTAAGAGCACCCCAAAAGACAACACACAAACATCAATAATTAGACTGATAACACACTTCTCAACAGTAAAGCTGGACCCCAGGAGACTGTGAAATAGTTAGTATCCATGAAGGAAAATGACTGATGTTCCAGAATCATGCACCCAGATAAACTGGCATGTAGAATGGGCATGATACTGACAGAATACTTTACAAACAGTCCCACAGGAAATGCTGATTTTTAAATATCAATAAATATTGATAATAATTGATATCGATAAAATATTGATAATAATAATGGAAGTATCCAGGAGTTTTTGTCCACATCATTTTATGTCTGGAACTACTTGAAGCATATTTGAGTCATTGGACAAAAGGATAAGCAGTTGTGTTTGTTTGAATGGAAAGCTTTAGTCTGACCTGGGTTAAAACCAGTAACAGGGATGTTCTGTTTCCCACAGAGCAAGACTGACCAGCAGGGCCCTGGACCTCGGAGCTGATGTCATTCTGACAGGGTGCTGCGGGGACAGTGCTGTTGTGCTGGGGCCCCTCATTTACGCCGTGAGTTTATGAGGAGAACACACTTGTCACCTTGAGCTTATTGTCTTTGTTTGACTTACTAACACACAAGTAACCTTCTTCAGCCATTACAAAGTGTGTTTTCAGGTGCCAGTTTGTAAACTTTAAAAATAGTAAGAACAAGTCAAAAATAAGTGCATTGCCTCTCTATGAGATATTTAATATGTCTAGTGTACCAAAAGGCACAAAATGAATTTCAAATTTGATTTTATATAATGGTGATATCCCATTAAAATATGGTAGAATAATTTGTGGTTGTTGTTAACCAAATTATTCAGAGATGACCATGTGAAACTAGTTTACAGACTGGTGTGTGTGGTTGGTGTGTAACTTCTGCACCTTTTTATTCAACCCCTGGGAACCCTTTTGGATCTTAAAGTTATTAGAAAAGTCTTTAGAGTTTGAGAAGCCATCTATATGTTTGGGGACTATTTTGCTTATGTTAATTTTTTTAGTAGTAATTTTCCTGAAATTAGGTGTATTAACTCTTTCCTGGTCAAATTCCTAGCTCTTGGTGTGCCCCTATTTAATCCCTTAGGGGCTCTGTTGGAACATATTCTCAGGGCAAATAAAGCTTCTCAAGGGCACGGCCGGCTCTTTTTCTACATACAGAGAGAGAATGATGATTGTGTTTTATGGATAGAATGGTCCATACTTTAGGCTCCATGGGTCTCCCCATTCACCCATTCATACCCCACCCAGCATGTAACTTCAGTCTTTCGAAGTTGTGTTCTCTCAGTTTAAGTCTGCACTCTCCCATGGGAGGCTACTTTAAAGCCTTCATATTGGTCCTTTGATCCATGTCCCTTTGTGCCCAGCGATTCCTCCAGTCAACTCTTCCTTCCCTCCCTTTACCAACGAGTTCATCTCTTTAGGGCCCTGCTCTTACTGATGTTGACCTATCTTCTCTTTTCTAACTTCTGTTCATTCCACACTGAGTCGCTCTGGTCCTTCTGAGCCAGAAGCCACGGAAACACCGAGACTGGGTGGGGTTGGTCACTGCTGCATCCTCAGGTAATGCTACTTCCTTTTTTAAAATATGGTTAATCAAAAAGAAGGAAATGAAGTGAATCATAACCCCACTACGCACCACTACAATCAACAGTTATGTGTTCTTCCAGCCATTAAATTTAGGTCACTTACTGGCTTATTGGCTGTAACTTTTTGTTTTGTTACTTTGCTGATGGCTCCAGTGTTTGTGGTATAATTCTTTAATGTTGTGGTCTACTCTCAAGTGATGCTCTAATATTTTACATAGAGTAGAAGAGCTTTAGGACTAATACTTCTATTTCACCCCTCCTATCTTTTGTGCATTTTTCAAACCCTTTACGTCTTCATATGTTATAAACCCAACAACACATCTTTATTATTTAGTATTATGTTTTAATTTATTGTTACTTATATTTTATTGGTATCATAATAATCATCATCCTGTAAAGTGCTTTGGAGGCTAAGCAGAAAATCTCGTGCATTTACCCATGTACCGCACTTCACATTTCTGGCGCTTTCAGTCTCTCACGTGGACCAATATTTTTCTCTAGAATCCTTTCCCTTCCACTTTAGGGGCTTCACTTAACATTTATTGTTATGATAAAAGTCTGCTGGTGATGATTTTTCAGCTTTTGTATGTCTGGAGAAATCTTTATTTCACCATTACTTTTGAAAGAGATGTGCTGTGAGTAAAGAATTCAAGGTTGACAGTTTTTCTTTCCATATTTTAAAGTTCTTGTTGCACTGCCTTCTCCATGTTGCTTCTGAGGCAAAATTGCTGCCATATTTATCTTTGTAGCTTTAGCTATATACCATGTGTTTCTTTTGTTGTCAGCTTTTAAGATGTTCTCTCTCACTCTTTGGGGGCAATTTTATTATGACATGCCTTTTTTCTATGTTTCTTGGGCTTGGTAGTTGTGATCTTCATGCACCTGTGAATTTATAACTTCATCCAATTTAAAAATATTTTAACCTTCATTTCTTCAAATGTTTATGTCCTTCTCCCTCCCCTGGGACTCCAATTACACATATATTATGTCATTTAAAGTTTTCCAAGAGCTCACGATGCTCTCTTTATTTCTGATATTCCTTTTTCTCTCCATGAAATGTTTGAATAGTTTCTATTGTTATCTCTTCTTGTTGAATAATTTTTTCTGCAATGTCTAGTTTTTTGTTATCACCATCAGTGTTTTTTGTTGTTGCTGTTGTTTTTACCTCAGACTTATAGTTTTTATCTTCAGAAGTTCAAATTTAGGTCTTTTCTGTGCTTTGGTTTTGAACCTGTTTTATTTTTTTCAACACATGAAATACAGTTCCAATAATGTCTAACTACATTTTAGTCATCTGCAAATTTTACTATCTTTGTAGGATATGGGTCTGTTTCAATTAATAGATTTTTTCTCTCAATGTGGGTCAGGTTTTCCTGCTTTTTTGCGTGCCTGGTAATTATGGGTTGGATGTCATTGCATTGTGAATTTTTTCCTTGTTGGTTGCTAAATATTTTCATGTTCCTGTAAACATTTTTGAGCTTTACCTTGGAATGTGATTATTTATTTTATAATTGTTTGGTCCTTTTTGATCTTGCTTTTAAGATGCGTTCCACAGGACCAGAGCGGCGTGTATGCTAGGACTAATTGTTTCCCACTATTGTGGCAAGGCTTTCCTGAGCACTTTACTCATTTTTCTATGACGTATGAGAATTTCCTGTCCAGCTTTTGTCCGTGGGCACTATTCCCAGTCTAGGGTAGCTTCTTCATACCCATGTGCTGGCTAGTTTTTAGCTGAAGGCTTGCAAGGGGACCTGTTAAGGTCTCTGGAGTTCTCTGTCTGTGCAGCTCTCTGCGTGTGGTAATCTGCCCTGCAAACTCTTGTCATGCCGGCCTTCCTACACTCTCAGCTCCCTCGCTCAGGGAATCTGTCAGGCTCCATTCGGATGCCCCCACTCGAGCACTTGGCCTAGAAACTCAATCATAGGCTTGTCCCCCTGGTTTTACATTGCTTCGGGTTTTCTGGTTTCTGTTGCCTGGTGTCCATTGTCTTAAACACTGTTGTTGCACGTATTGTACCTGGCTTTTTGTTGTTTTGGGCAGTAGTTAAATTTGGTTCAGGTTATTTTATCTTGTCCAGAGCAAAATTCTACTCCATATTCTTTTTATGAGTTGCTTTTGTTGGTTTCTTCATATAATTTTGTATTTGAATCTATGCAATGATTTTAAATTGTATTTAGATCAAGTAGAAAATTAATTACTTTATTTTGAACATATACTATGTAAAGATTCTACATCTAAATGGATGAACTGTAAATAAAATAATCACTTTTTTTCTTATAGTTTGAT